GGCATGGATAGGCTGGTAGCATGCACGTTAATATGGTTTGGGCATGGATGGGCTGGTAACACGCACGTTGATATGGTTTGGGCATGGATATGCCGTTAATATGGTTTGAGCATGGATGGGCTGGCAGCATCTATGCTTCAAAATTTGAGTCGAAGATGTGGAAGATATGATCCCGAAGCCTGAAAGCCGGAACCGGAAACCCCAAACCCCGTTAGTTTGCTGGTGAGCCAAAGTCGGCACGATGCAGACCTGAGCGACAGAGCAGTGGGGAGAAGAAGTGGGGCAAACGAGGGCGATGGACCCAAGGTCTTGCCCCAACCATCTTGCAAGGACCGGAACAAAGCATCCCATCTGCAAACACACGAAGTGTAAATCTTCGCACTCACCGGCTGTATCTTTTGATTCCTCCATAATCGATGCAACAGTCTGCAATCTCTTTCCGTCTTGGCATCTCCCGGCGGTGATCTGCGTCACAAGTCATGGTCACCTCAGCCACTGCGGCGGCCTGGAAAATGTCGTGCGGCAAGGTCGGACAGAAGTCTTGCCACGCCAGCCAATATTTGTTGAAGAGATCCTTGAGCTGGGCGTCCGTCATGGTCAGGAGTGTCCGCACGAAGTGTTTGAAGTCGTCAGAAAGGATCCTTGAATGATACGTCTCACTGTGTCGTCATTGCCCATTGCGGGTCGTGGAGTTGCGTGGCAGAGCACTGGCAGTGAGGAAGATGAGGTTATTTACGTCTTACAGGAAGCCGTGAATAACAGTCTGAACTGTTGTCCACGCAATTCCCTCTGTCAGGAGAACAAACTGTAGCTTCGGCTCCTTCTGGAAATTCTGCCGCGAAGCATTCCGTCGAATTCTCATGTTTTTCCACCATTGACATTCCGATCTTGATGATGGGACTGTCAGTGAAGGACACGTCGCACACGACTCCGATATTCTCCATAGATTTCTCCAGGCACGTCCAACGATTGGCTTCGCCAGGCCGACTTGGAACTGCTAAATGCATCCAAACGCATCAAGCAGGTTTACCTGTATCGCTTCGGGGCAGACTTTCCAGAAGGAGCCGAAGCTACAGTTTGTTCTCCTGACAGAAGGAAATGCGTGGACGATTGAGAATGAAATTCACGGCCCCTTGCAGCTCTGCTTCGTAAAGGGTCTCCGGGCTGCAGCAGCCGAGGCAAAACGTGTGGTTCCCGAGCTCATTGCTGGGAACCAACTTGAAGCCGTAATGGCTGCAAGGGCAAACTTTCCGAAGGAAGGAACAAGGCGAATTTTTCAAAGGTCCAGCATTTAGGGTTCAGGGTTTTTTGCCCTAAACGTGGCGTGAGTTTGCGACTTACACAGCACGTCACCAAAGACACTGCACTGTCAGAGATAGTTCATACACCCTGCGCCTACCAATCTTACAAATTCCGATCAGGTCAAAATCGCCGGACAGTGCACACGTAGTAATGTGCCTTGCTGGCAACCAGGCTCCATGAAAAATGGGAATCGCCCTGGCTCGGTCTCCTTAGTCCACAACAAAGCCGGATTAAACTATCTTCCGCTTTGGCGAGCAACTGAGGTACAGGCTTGAAGCGAAAAACGTGCACATTCTTGTTCTTCCTGGGGTTTCATCGAGCAGTACATGAAACTGTGTGAAGGAAACGGAAAAGATCCTTCCTGCTTGTTCGCTGCATAAACCAGTCGCACAATCTGAGTTCCCTAGCATCTTGCGAACGAAAGTTCATCTCCGAAAAAAGGATAGCTTGGGATGCTGTTAAGTTTGATTTGGTGGCCCATCTCACCATCTCATCATCTTGGTGATCCGGGCAGTGCAATTCGAAGAAATCTCAACAGCTTCATAGCTGTGGGCCCGGACTGAAGAACTCATGTTCAATGTTTTGTAACGGGCTGCATATGGTTGTATAATATAGGGGCCTAAACAATTACCTATACTATTCTTAGGGCTACTTGTTATGGGTTATAGTAGAACATACCCCAAAACCCTATTATAATTATGGAGGCCCCTACATTAGAGTGTTGAAATAGGGCCCAGACACTAGTTGAATACTATAGTAGGAACTACAAAGGGGGGCTACTACCAATGATGCAGGCCTTCTTAGTAACCCTTAACCCTAAACTCTAAACCCTAAAACCCTAAACCCTAAACCAAATCCCGAAGCCCCAGAACCCTCTATCCCAATTCTGTAGCTACATGCGATCTTTCCAGGAAGGCCAGCTCCAATTTTGTGGCTGAATCGGCACGAAGCGCGACAGAGAGTATATGGAGAGGTATGCAGGGGGTGCCGGCCTGCCTGGCCTCCTGGGCATAACAGTCTCACTCGTACATTTCTGAATGCATGTCGTTGGGTATTTCCTAGTCTGTAAAGCGACATGTGCAGCGACGTGGAACTTAGATGACTTAGATGTCGATCAAAAAACTTCGATATTCAGAAGCCTAGGGACTGCACATTCCAGCGGATGCAACGCGTGATCTTAATACCATGTGCTTGAAGCACGAAACATCTCAAGACGTCAACCAACCGGGGCCCGAGCTTTGTCTTTCCGTCGGATGGATCATCCACTGGCTCTGCCTTCTGAGAAAGCAGGACTCGCATTTCTGCACATCAGAAGGATTGGTCAATTGTCAACGCCCTCACCCGTCTCGGGCGACATGGGTACCACCAAACAAGTATCACACACTTCACCACATCTGCCACCTCATCACGAATACCAAGACTGGACCCCCCCCCTGAAATCACGGAGAAAACATAAGTCTAGCGGAGTGCAATCTTGCTATGATACTTCACTTCGCGGCGATAGGCATTTCAATGAGCAAGCCTTGCGTCCGCCCCCTTCCCCGAAATGAGAACTCGAGCATTTGGGTTACAGCATAGCGGTCAGTTCAAACACGGCACAGAACAAAAAGTCAAAACTTCTACCGACATAAGACTTCAAAATCAACCTCTTCGACACATCGCTGTTAAAGTTTTGCAGGCTTATCATGCCACTGAAAATACTGAACAGGCCCAAATTGGCTGGACAAGTATGGAAATGCAACCCTGGAGCCCGAAAGGATGAAGGTTTGCGTCGTCAAAGTCTTTCGGACTCTTTCCAGGGTCTCCACAACCTCTTACTGTTTCACAGTCTTCTAAAAGGCATAGCTCATGTAAGGTAAAAAGCTATACATGGATGCCGCATTGGGTGCAACTTCCTTGGTATGGGGCAGCGTATCCCCGCTCGCGCAGAGCATCTTCGCTTTTTGTTCATGAAAGGATTCTACGCGAAACTGGAAACCGCTTCCCACGCCTCGAACATGAGGAAAGAAGGATAACATGCTTGAATCTTTACTGGAATGAACCATCGCCGGCTTCAACCGCCTGACAACCTTGCACTGAGGCGGCACTGTGAAACACGGCTTTTGAAGGAACTCCGTTCTTCCGAATGACCGGTGGACGGCAGCAGTGAGTGGTGGCAGCGGAAGAACGAAGCGCTGTGGAGGAAAAATCTGCAGGAGGGGAGTGAGTGAGTCGGGGAGTGTTGCGACGAGAAAGGGAGTAGGGAGTGAGTTAGCCCGCTTGAGTAGTCATTTGCAGTCCGTCAGTGCTTTCGTCAAGAGCGACAGAAAAAAATCTGCTGGCACCGTAAGGAGCAGGCCGGGAAATCCTCGACAACCAGCTCTGTGTCTGCCTACATGTTCACCGCAATCGTTTCAGACGCTGAAACGCCGTGAAGAAAAAGCACGACAGGTCGGCGAAACGAGAAATTCACCCAGTCTTGCCGCACCTCGTTCGAGACATCGTCGAGCATTATGCCACTTATCCTTTTCAGAACAATGCCAACTAGCATGCCCGATGCACGACCTGCGGCATAGCCTGTCATTGTACACTCCAGCCTTAAGTAGACATCGTACTTGTTGGGGTCGAAACCTTAGGATAAATCCGCACGTAATCTCTGATAAGCCCGAAATACGAACCGACGGATGCTGCTGAGCACGTGGCCGGTGCGCAGCTCACACTTCCTAAGTCCAACCTGATGGCAAATTAGGTTAAAGATGCTCATCTTTATAGTGCGCAAAGGAGCAGAGAGCGGCGAGTCTTCATCTACATTTAGAGAATCAGCGCGCGTTCCAAGATCAATTCAGGATCAACTCGAGCTTGTGGGAGACTTGGTCGAACCGACTCGTGCTTCCCCACTGGGAAGTGATGCTGATCAGACTCTTCCAGAAAAGACTCTAGACAAAAGAACAATGCAGGACGTGTTTAGCAAATCACGAAGCTAGGCCCCAAACGTTTGTTACGAACATTTGCTTGTCCATCGCTTCTCTGCCCGACTCCGCCACCTGAGAGAGGAGTCCAGCCGTGCGATACCTTCGACCAACATCCGCTGTGCCCCTTGCTCTGGAAAGCTCCGGCTGAGCAGCTTCCGGATCGCACAGCTGCCAGGCTACCTGTCAAAGTTTATAGACTCATGTCATGCGGTGAGCCTCGGCCTCCAACATTCCTGCTGACCACACCGGCACACTGGGATTTTAGCAACGAGTTGGGAGTTCGTGTCCGCAGCTCCCGCGAAAATGCTTGGCCTTGGTGCCAAAGCAATAAAACGACCCTGCATCATTCGAGTAAGCCGGCAACGCAGACTCCAGAGAGATCTCCTGGGGCCCACTGTGAACAGCAGTCTGTCTTGCCAGCGACAACTGTAATGTCTGAGTACAGAGAGCCTTGCCAAAGCAGAGATCAAACACATAGCAGGTCTACACGCACACGATGGGTCTACACAGTCTACCCGACCTGCCGCCGCACATCATTGGAACCCATCGCCGCGCTCAGAGAGCCCGAAACTCGGACAGGCAGAGGAATCAAATTGCAAGAGGCAGGACAAACAGGTGGTACGTGGTGATGCGGCCAAACCATGTTCAACTGTCACACGGCTTAGATGAGTGCATCCCAGCTGCACAAGTGGCGCCGGCCGAAAAGCCTGGCGGACATGACCTGCCACAAAACTCTACACACTCACCAAACCGCTCAATGACAACGCGGCAATGCACAAGGCCTTGATCTCCACGTTCAGCGGCCTTCCGAGAAGCTGCGGCTCTGCCAAACGATGCCAAGGCACAGAGGACGGCACCTTCCGCTGTAGAGGTCCACGTCAAACTCCATCTGGCAAGCGCCAACATCAACTGGGATCTGCGGCCGTCTCTACATCTGAGGCCGGCACGTTGAAGTCCCAAACTGGATACTCGGAAGCTACTGAGACCTGTCTACATCAAACGAAGATTGAGGCAGATGTAGCACCCTACCATACCCTACACCACTGTGGGCTCAGAGCACGGCAGGGCTGACATGCCTCTCCTGCCTCTCAGAGTTCACCTGTGTAGTCACCTCGCTTGTCAGCACATATCAGCAACAATGCACTTCATGCCTACAGGAACTCTATTCTGCATTGATTCCACGTGCACCTCGAGCAAAGTGGGTTCTGCTGGCATGTCCTTCGCATGACGCAACCAGAAACGTTGCGTGCTGTTCCTCACATACCCATGCATCGCAACTGGCACGGTCCCTGCCATGATGGACACAGAGCCGCCACTTGCGTTTCGAAATCGCACTGGCACGATGGGACAGTGCACATGCAAGTCAGCTGCAAAGGCAAGCAAATTCTTTCGAGGAGTACACCCATCATGACTGCTTTCTCATGCACAGCAGAAGCTACCGGAAGTCAAGAAGAAACTTGCTGGCTTACATGACTCACAGATTCCAAGTGTTTTCATGTGATGAACATGCCCGTCCGCAGCTGCAGGTGAAACGTGTCCAGCAGACGATGGGTCGACTGCAGGTCTTCTTCTGGCAAGTGATGGCACGATGATTCCCAGACTGATCATCACATTCAACTTACCTCAGCCTAAACAAAGGCTTCCAGCCCAAAGCTTAGCAGCGGACACGGCAGATTCCTGCAGGAGGTGAGGCGCCGGAAAGGGCCGAGATGCAAAGGTCAAACGCAAAGGAAGAGATCGTCGGAGCTGTCGCCAGTGTCGCTGGAAGCTGAGTGCAAAGCTTTGTGAGCCAGTGCCGCGTGAATATCCGACTGACACGCAGATGGGACTTGCACAGTTCTCAACTGGCGTGCTGTGGGACTGGCCTCGCCGAATATGCCGCCCGACACGAAGCCTGGACAGCTGCAATATGATTCAGGTTTTGAACGAAATCTTTGCGCGGGTGACTCTGAAACTCAGCTGTCCTGCAGTATCCTCGACTGCTTCTTGCGCACGTTGCGCTATGCCGCTTGCAGCACTCATCGCCTGCGCCAGGAAAGACAATTGAACTTCACCCTCTTCTTATTCATGCACCGCCCGTCTGTATCCTACACAGTTTGGCTGCTCAATGCCTCTACCAACAAAGCCTAGAAGTAAATGATAATCCATTAACAGCCTTAACAAGTTACGTGACGTTACGTGGCACCAGCAGGAACCGTGAGCCTGAGAGGAAGAGAGAAGGACACGTCATCCATCCAACATGCCGAGTGACATCACTTGCCTCCATCTGCTGCCAAGGACTAACGCCCATCATGCTTGAAACCGCCATGGCCTGCAACAACAGTTCGAAAGTCAATGTCACCAGCCCGCTTCAAGCACCAGGCACATTCCGATACACAGCAAACTGCCATAGTCTGTGCCGGTCGGGGCCTGCATGTTGGGAGCGGCACACCCGAGGCCGGGCTGCGCACTTGCAAGTAATGTGACTCCCTACAAGTCCCAAGTTTGTCCCACTCTCTGCTTATGGAACAAGGGTTCTGCTATGCTTCATGATTTGTGGCAGGCTGCGAGAAAACCGAAGGGGCAGGGATCGGTGTACTGCTACGATCTTCATATGGCAGCGGGCAATTTGAGACCTTCGCAACTTTAAACATGCACCGTGTTCTTAGCATGCTTGCCGGTGCAGAAGCAGCTCTTCAGTAGCTTGGCCCTTTCGTGGAAGCGCATTTGGATACTTTGCCAAACTTCCGTCACCGGCAGATTTCAGCCTGGATCACGGTCACGGAGTGACGAATTCAATTCGGAGTTAGGCCGAGACGCATCGAGACAATTCCGGAGCTCCGTGGGCCTCGTGAAGCACGCATCTCGTCAGAGTCGTAGCCTCTCAGTGCCCTTGGGCTCAGTTGCCAATCCGCATATCGCTCAACTAACCAGCCGCACCATCTCGCCTCCCACAGCCCATGTGTCCCAAGCGTCTCGCTGCGAGCGCATGCGCCGAAGCCACAACACAACTGAGAAGCTCGAAGCCGAAATTGCCATGGCGGCCATGGACAGGAATGCCAGCGTGTGCCTCCTGGAGTGCAAATGAAGCTTCCGGTCCTCGAACTGCTCGAACATGCCAAAGGGTCTGAACATGGACCCCAGGCCGATGGTGCTCGCGGTGGTGGTGGCGGTCGTGCTGGCGGTGCTGGCGCTGGCGGTGGCCGGCTTCTGCTCGGGCATGTCAAGCGGATCCACCGACAGACCTCCCGGGATCCCCAGCTTCACGGGCTTGAAGCTAGGGGGAAACGTCACCGTCGGAGTCACGGTCACCTGTCTCTGAGCTGGCGAAAGAAAGCTCGAAGTGGAGCTTTCTCGCAGCGCTGTGCTTTCGGGAACTTCTGTAGTGACCGTGGTGGAGATCGCTACAGGAACTGCTGTAGGTGCCAGGAAAGCTTTCGTGGTCAGTCGAGGGGCTGCCGTAGTCAGCATTGCAAAGGGATTGAGAGGTGCTGCGGGAGGGTCCTGATTGAGAGGATTGCCTGCTGCACTTGGGCGGGAAGCTTTGGCTGTCGAAAGTGCAATAGGCTGAGTGGGTGTAGCAAACAGGGGAGGGGCTGCCTGCGTTGTTAGGGGTTGGGGAAGGTTCGTGGTCGTGAGTGGCACCGAGGATGTTAGCAAAGGCGAAGACGGCGACAGGAACGGATTGAATGGTGTTCGCGGAGGGTCGCGATTCAATGGATTGAGGGGGAGGGCCGCAGAGGGCTGTGCAGGACTCTGCACCTGTTGGGGAGGTTTGGGCGTTGGTGGTGGGCTTTGGTCATGATCCCCTGCAGTGCCCAACATGATGTTGGAGGCACTGGCAGGACCCGGCACCCACAAATTCTCGGCAGGATGATGTGTTGGTGACGGCTGTCTGGGAGACGGGGTCGCCTTGGGTGCCTGAAGCTTTGGGACACCAAGCTGACTGCTCGGCGCAGGTTCTGGCAAAAGGCCTCCCCGAGGATTCTTCTTCAGTGCCACGGAGAGGCTGACGGTGCCGAGACCAGCAATGTATTCTTCCTCGGCATGTCTTGTCGCTCACGGGTCGCTGGTCAAACATTCGTGGAAAGTTACACACAGCCTTGCATAATGGTACGAGATTCGGCACTGATGCGTCCATTTCGGTCAGTATCTAGCGAATGGAAGGAATCCTTTCAAACAGGCAGGAGGCGGTACCAGCAGCGACTAGCGTAAGATGGGCTTAGACCGCGAGCACCATGGCCTCGAAATCCGAAAGGTCCACGATAGGCTTCTCCTCCAGAAGGCTTTTTGGTAAGGAACAATGAGAAGCTGTGACTTGCATCTGCGCACCTTGGGTCGAATGCCACCGGCAAGTTCCTGCAGACTCAGCAGGCCCCACATACTCCACGCACTTGCTTCTCACTTTCGTGCACGGTCACCTGCAGGTTGACTGCACACTCGCTGTGCGAGAACGCCTGCAGGTCTTTCGTCTGGCCAGGCCAACCTTGGACGAATTTGCAGCTTACATAGGCTGGTGAATCGCTGCAAGAACTGGTAACTATCCAAACAAGGCGCCGTTCTGATCGACATTGCCCCTGCCCAGCCACAAGTCCATCTTCCCCAGTCTGGTTGCAGGAAGTCGAGACACCTGAAGCAGCGATTTGCTCGACAACGAGACTTCGCAGAACTCTGAGAACTTGTGCCTGACACGTCTTTGCGAGCTTCCCATCCTGCAGAGAACATGCCAACCCTCCCACGCGATACATCTCTGAGCGAATGTCTCTGTCTCCCTCTCTCTCTACCAGGTGGGAGGCCCAGGGAGCGTCCAGCCCTGAACCTCGTGCGCAAGCGCGCACCCGCAGCAGATCTCTCCACTTCACTTCACTCAGAAGGTGCGCCCCTGTTGGGGGGCCTTGTGTGAAGGGCGTGAGAAAACAGCTCGGAACAAGATGTGGTTCCCCGCAGCGCATCTCTCTCTCTCTCTCTCTCTGTCTCTCTCTCGCAGCGCATCTCTCTCTCTCCTTCTACCCAGCCGAAGGAGAGCAGGAAAACCCCTGCCCCCCCTGCGCGCGCACGCGCACTGGCGTCCAAGGTCTGTTCGTTTCTACTCGTCGAGATGAGGCTGTGGGGCCGAAACTGTAAACCCCTTAATACTTAGAACTGCCTAGTGATCCCCCGGCCTCATCTTTGGGGCTGAAACCTGGCCTGGCCTCTTAGTCGCAGGCTATTACTGCTTGGCCACTGTACTGCTACTGCATCTCTCTCTCTCTCTCTCTACCAGGACAGAGGAGGCAGGCTCTCTCTCTCTCTCTCTCCTGGAAAAGGCGCTGCAAACCATGTTGCGCATCGAAGACCAAAGCCACTTGCACCCATCGTCCAGAGGGCAGAGGACTGTCTGCCTGCGAAGAAGGCACCCGGCACCAGCGAACCGCACTCGCGTAAAGCTCCGCCTGGCAGATCTGCTCAAGGACCACGGATTGCAGGCTGCCGTCGCGCGTTGTCAAAAGGAGCCCGGGCGAGGAATCCGAATCCTTCGTCTCATCACACCCTGCTGTCTGCATGTCTGCCGTCTTCAAGAAGCGTGACAACGAGCAGCTGAGACCTGGACTCCTGAGATGATCACCCCGTCAGCTGCCTGAAACAGTGACAGACCAGGCAAGTAACCATCTGCACTCTGGATGCGCGGTGCCTGTTCGGGCTTGAGAAGCCGCATCGTAAGTGTGAAAGATCCTCCAAAGCAGTAAAAACTTGCTTTCCTGACTTTGGAATACACGTAACCGACATGAGGTGCTTCTCAACATATGGTCACTCAACGGGAGCCACCTCCGTCTATGCCCAGCTGCGAAGCCGGACCCACCTTCGTCGCACCACCGGCCTGTCCGCCTGAGTAGCAGCAAAGAATGGCGAAATAGTCACAGACGAAATAACTGCGGCAAGTTGGGTTGCGGGCTAAGCGCTGCAACACTCGTCAGTGGAACTTGAGAGAAGATCGCAGTGATATCCTGGCATCAAACACTGTAAGCTGTCCACAGATTTTGCAGACCGACATGGGAACCGGCACGACATTCGCCGTTAATGCGCTATTTTAACTGCTTCGTGAGCAGCAGATGCCTTTGTCTGCAGGGCTTCGGGGAACACGAAGAGAGACGTCAATCTCGCCCTCAGCACGAGCCGGAAAGGATATTGGGTGTTGCAGCTCAAGGCCTGAGTGCAGACAGGCGGCCGGCTTCTCGCGGATTGCAACTCACCTGCTA